TGTTATATAGAAGAAGATGTACTTTATTGAAGAAGAAGATGTACTTTATTGGTCCCCTTGGGGAAAATCGCTCTCTGCATTTAACCCATTCACTCAGTGAAGCAGTGGGCAGCCATTGGGCGCCCGGGGAGCAGTGTGTAGGGACGGTACCTTGCTCAGGGGTACCTCAGGGTAGCTGTTCAGAGGAATCGAACCCCCGACCTTCCGATCATGGGGCCACCACTCTACCTACTGAGCTATCCCTGCCCATATACTTCCATCATGGACTTTTAAATTGGGACAAATATATAGAAATTCCTCTTACCTTTTGGATCTCCCTGATCCAGCGGTTAACTCCAGATTGCAGCTGGTTCAGGAAAGTAGGATCTTCCACCTTGTCGCCAAAGTCAGTGACTTTGGGCTTCTCCCCACGCTCATAGCACTGCTTGGCGATATTTGTGATGATGGGGTGGATGAGCAGGCTGATTTCAGGAATCTCAATATTTTGCTGCAGGTGGAGAAGGCCCATCTCCAGCTCAGCAATCTTCTTCTCGACAGAGGGGGCCATTTTATCCCCATCTCTAGAAAGTTGTAACAGATAACAGTGTTACAATGTTTTTTCCTTCCATTACATTTCCATCCATTACAATTCAATGCAAGTTCAGGATTTAGTTTATTTAAGGAAGGCTTTGCAAAGTAACATTACCTGTCGGCTTTCCCAGACTCACGAATGTAGGACTTGAAGAAAGGTGCGACAGCATTGCTGATGAAAGAGTGAAGCGTCTCGTAGGGAGAATCCTCGCTCAAAGTCAGCACTCGCACCTGGGTTGATATCGGTTTGTCTGCATCAATGACGCCCGTCCTCTTGATCAAAGCCAAGCTACAGAGTAAAGAAAAGGTGAATGTATTCATCCAGAATAGCCAGAATTTAAATAACTGAAGGATCATATGCAGTATTACTTTTTCCAGTGCATTATTTACCTGTTGGACTTGATCCCATAGTGGATGTCAATGTTAACATTATAAGTGATGCACTCTTTCTCCTCCTCACTTTCATCTCCGACCTCCTCTGTGAGGAAACAAATACATATATTAATTTAATAACTAAACAGATGACCCATCATTGAATGTGTCCATCAGGTTCTTCATACTAGGTCTAAAACAAGGTCAAAGTAGCACATTAATACCTTGTCAATGTCAATATGAGGACACCACAGTGCAAATAGTCTTGCTTTATTACATTTCCAATGTACAATAAGGTAGGGCATGTGACTGCTTTTATTTTTACATTATTTCGAACTATTTAAAGACATGCATGATTGACTCCTTAAGGCCAGTGAAGTTGCAATGCAGCTAAAAAAGAATTAAACTATTTGGACTCTAGATAGATGTGCACAATGAGAAGTGCTGCAGCAGATGATGGTGCAGCTATTCATGTCCACACCCTCCCTTACAAGTGATGAGTGGGCTGCATTGCAGTATCAGTATTATTAATGCAAAACCGCGAATAGGCCGGGTAAGTGACTCTTTGGGCTGGGAATCCAAAACCTCCAGGCTAAGACTGGTCATGTGTGGTATCAAAGGATCAAGATTCAGCACAGATATAGTAGGAAAGCAGCTCAGAAGCTGAGGATTAATTTGCCTGGGGAAACTGAAAATAATGTGTTTATTGACACAAGCTGGTTCACATGATAAAATGACTTGCAGCTATGACAAAGGAGCCATTCTCTTTGAATTCCTATAATTATGCTTCATGTTTTTATTATGACTGTGTATCTGTCTCGCTATTTGTGCACCAGGCGTCAACGTGATATGCATATATAATAGCTTTATATAAATGCAGAAGGAACACAAAAATAACGGAGTTACGTCAACATACAGCTCCATTTTTTTATTGTTGTGATTGATTGTTTTATCGTCCCCACCCAGTGTGGCGCAGTTATCTTAGTAAGTAGATGGACCGCTTTAGCGACATCTGTTAATATCGTTGTAAAAGCAGCAGTTAACGATGAGTTTCCAAACGATTTGGCAGGTGGTTAACAAGAAAAGCTAATTTGCAAAGACGCCGACTTTATTCTAAAGTAACTGGGTGAACAAACAGTGTTGCTATTAAAATCATATTTATGAGCTAGTCGAGTTCTCTGACGTACCTTTCAGAGCGCTTCTCTCGACCAGGATGGTGTGAATCTGGGGATCGGCCAGGAATTTTCTCATCTGCTCCACGGAGCTTTTCTCTTCTAGGGCGGTTTCCAGCGAGGCCGGGGCCTCTCCGCCATCTTCCAAGAGCAGCGGTACCAGCTTCCGAATGTGCTTCTGCAGCACCGAGGTATCAGCCACCGTCTGAACGGCCGACACCTCCATAGTGCCGGAGTTTTCCTCCGTCCCCCCGCCGTCGGACATCCTTCTAAGAGCGTCAACGACGACTAGGTGTTGTGTGAAAGTGAACAAAGAAAAAAGGATGACGGTAACAAGCTGACTGCAGCTTCTACCAGCGGGTCATAGGTTGACTGACTGCCGCTGTCAAAACGTCGCAACCGACGCAATCTGTTTTATATGCGCAAAGGATTATGGTATTTGTCGTTCCTTAAATGGGGAGTTCACCGAGCTGTGGTCGTCAAAGACTACAATACCCATAATACAGTTGAATTAATCAGTTTTTTTCTGTCCTTTTGTTAGTACCATGTGCGACAAATAGGGGGAGAAAGGGAGTTGTCTCGAATGATGCAGCTGAAATAGCTTTTAAAATACAAACTTTGATTTGTGCTATTGTTAATTCAATAATAATGTAATTTTAAAAAATCAAAGGCATGTTGAGGCCCATGTTCTATTGGGGACTACGAGTACAAAAATAAATTAGATAAATAGATAATTAATGAATTAAATGTACCATTAATAAATTATAATTGAAAAAAATGAATAAATGAATTTATGGAATGTTTTAAAGAAATTAATTGACATTAATTCATTATTTACTCATTTAGTTGATTAACTATTTCCTATTTTAATTATTAAATTACACACTTTAATATTCATTTAATTATGCATTTATTTAATTCCCTTTGGCACTCTGGGCCCTCCATAATGTGCAACCCTGTGACCTACTACATATTTAATATCAGTACGTGAAACGTGGAGAATTGTTTTGTGTTGAATTACTTGTGTTAAAGTCTTTACTCAAGAAAAAGTTATAATCCTTGTTAGCTAATACTTAAAAAAAATTGGTTGCTTATATTTAATAATCTATATTACACCTATATAAAAAGTGAATACTCCCTTCTTCTTTTCAGGTTATTATCGCTAGGGATCGCCACAACTGGTCATCCTATTCTCCCTCTCATCCTATCCCTAATATCCTCCTTTGTTACACCAACTATCTGCATGTTGTCCTTCACTACATCCATGATTTGTCTCTGTGGTCTTCCTCTTTTCGGCCTGCACGGCAGCTCCATGTTTAACATTCTTTGCCTAATATCTAAAATATACAATTGACTGAATTAATTGAAGGTTTTCAAAATAAAGTCATAGGACAACACAGGAAGGCCAAAGAAAATGTGTTCCTTGAGATCATAACACAGACGAAAGAAAATATTAAACAGATCTATAAAAGGACTGATTAACTCTTAGGAAAAGAGAACTGAAAAGTGTACCCATAAATGGGACAATACAAAATGTTATAAATGTAAAAAAAGAAAAAATAACCTCATATTAATTTGTTTTTAGAGCTTAGTGCTAGTCCTCCAGAAATGCAGTCCCAGATTGGTTTTAACTAGCACAAATATTTTGACTTTTAACCACACAGATAACGTGAAAATGAATCAGATTCTCTCAACACTATCAAACTCAAAAGTATAAGTATAAGAAAAGTATATTCCCTGGCACATGAAAGTTGTTGTGGTAATTCCATAAATAAGGTGACAGACAGGAAATCTGAATGCAATGAATCTTTCTTACTCTCATTTCTGCATGTCATGCTGCTCACAGGTGAATAAGACTGACTTAAAGTTCATCAGATCACTTTACAAACACATTCTACTATTGAATTCAGATATGCATTTAGTACATCTGAATACAATACGAGATTTATCCAGCCTGTTCTGGGCAAATGAGTATAGCAACAAGGTCCACCATGTAGGTGTGCCTAAGCAATGCATCATTTTTTGCGCAGTCAGCTCTCTCCTAATAAGCAATTAATGACTGGAATATATTTCCCCAAAATTTGAAAACTTGTATAGATTTCTATCTTTAGTCATGATATATATTAAAAAAATGATTTTGAGGACTTCGTCTTGTGAGCATTCATTTCATTATGACTGCTTAATTTTTTATGTAATTCTGTATATATGTGATTAAAATTGTGTGTGTGTGTGTGTGTGTGTGTATGTGTGCCCCTGTTGATAGATTTTAACTTATATACTTTAACTGCAGATACAAGTTAGCTAAACTTTCTTTCCTTTTGTGTGTAGATTTGTATCTAAAGTTCTGTAAAATAATAACTAAAGCTTTAAAATAAATGTTATGGAGTACAAGGTACAGCATGTGCATTCAAAATGGAGCAGAAAAAGAAAGTAGCCTAGCATATTTTTAACTATATGAAAAGTGTGTTTGAGTAAAGTACTCTTTCCATCCCATTGTTAGACAGTAATAGTGGCATGGTGGGAATGGGGCCTCTGGACATGTGCTCTATCGGCACTCCATGGGATCACATTTAAATCAAGTGTCATGAGTGGGCCCCACCCCGGCAGGACAATGTGAGAAGTATCGCCCCAAAAAGTTTTCAAAAACTGCTGGAACAACAGGACAAAGAGCCGGAACAAGTCCCTTCTACAGAGACCCCACCCACAAACCCACAGGACAAAAAAAAAGAAAAAAAAGATCACATCTCAATCTCCCTTTGCCTTTTCATCAAGAAGGCAGACCCACCAGCAAATGATATTACACATTTGATAATAAAATAAAATGTCATGTACCAAATTGAGCTTTTTGAGTATGATTAAATATGCAGAATAAGAAGTAGGACACAATCGTTCTGGTCATGTTTATTTAAATAAATACCAAGATAAAGTAAAGCATGAGTTTCAAAGAGTAAACAGTTCAAACTGGAACAAGTTAAGAGAAAATATAATTAGGGGCTTAGCCTATACACCGCATCCCTGAGTAACAGCAACATTTGCAACTTCTATTACACACCCCACAGATTAAATAGCTTTTCAATGATTTATGGCTTTAATATTGTTACTGAGTTAAAGTGAGAATGCAGCTCAGTTTTTGATGACAAAAGCATGTTTTTAAGAGGTCTGCTGGCAATGACTATTTGTTGGCTAGACAAGTAAAGGATTAGTTTACAGATGTGCCGGTGGAAAACTATATATACCAACATTTTAAAAAAAAATAAAATAAATTATGCTAGCTCACTAGTTGCATGGAATCAATACAGTAACATCAGCATCAAGTCCTTTGAAAGTTAAAAACAGACTTTGTCTGCACCTCCGAAGATAAATCTTCATACCCAGGATAAAATACGTAATTTGAGCATTTCACATGAGGACTAAACCGCACCTTGATCACCTCATCGAATGAAGGCCAAAAAGACGGAAAGGATAATTGAAAACGTCGATCGAGTCGATACATCCGCTGAAGTCCATGACAGGATGCTCATTCCTCATCGGGGAACTTGAATTTAGCATAGACGATGAGCATAACTATGGACATCACGACACACAGGGAACCAATCACGAGGTAGGCAATGCCGAGGAATTCATTCCTTCCACCCATCCAGGACACATTGCTGAACACAATCTTCTTCGCCCCATTAAAAGCCCGAACAGGATAGTCTGGGGCACAAGTGTTAAGGATTTACACTGAGAATAGATACAAATGAATACCAGTTGTGGAAAACAATAACACTAAAGCAGAAAAGACATAAGTTATATCAAAAAGTACATTTTTCATTCCATAAAAATCTGTCTTGCTTGCATTGCAAACAAACAAATATATTTAAATGTTGTATTGAAAGTATTCAAACTTACAGCCCTGTTTTCTAAAGTGGGCGATATGGAGAACTTTACATAAGTCCTGCCTTGGCACAGGACAATCAAAAGCTATTTGCCTAGCTTGTTTACCTATGTCAGAAGATTTGCCTGTTTTTTTGGACACCTTAAAGAACTCCTGAGTCATTGTGCTCAAGCCAGTGCTCTGGTGAACAGAGACACACCCAACCCGTTGAACAGGTTACGAATACACTGCTGTGGCTGTAACACGACACTGGAGCCTCGTAAATCTTTAAATCTGTGGAATTTTTTATTTTTTAAACAGCAGGCTATTTTGTAAGTGTTAAATATCATTGGTTTCATATCATCATTTATACATGTGTATAAATACATATATTATAAATATGCATCATCCTTTAAATCATCGTATATTCTGTAATGAGTACAAGGATACTGTAGGCGATGTCAATCGTGTAGTTTCCAGCTGGGAGACCCTTTTGATAATCTCCGCTTGCATCGATTCGTCGATACAGCTTTCTGAAATTTGGCAGTGCTGCCCTCCTCATCCACACCAGGAAATCTTGATTCACAAACCCGTTGTTACTAGGGTCTGATGCGTCCAACTCATAAGCAGGCTTGGCCCAATTTATGGGTTTCACGGTACCTGCAAGTCAAAGTAGGCCAACATTTACCAAAGTATGTTAAGTTCCTGGAATGTGCACTTTATTACCCTCTATTAAACACAACTTAAGATAAAATTAAACTAAAGGTACTACCATTGAAGGCATTCTTCAGAGGTGTAACGCTTGGATTTCTGTATTTGATGTTGTAGTCTGTCCACCACGCTATTCCTTTTCCATCCAAGGGCACGTTATTTGTTGTCCCATTGACGGTCCAAGTCAGCGTGAAAGTGTCTTTAAAAGAAAAAAAAAAAAATTAACACTTCCTTTTATAGAAGATACTTTAATCTCCACAATTACTAGAGATCCCATACAAACCATTGAACATGCTGTTTGCTATTGATCCGCATGGCACAATTGGTTTTTTGCTGCTGTCGTAGTCATAGGGGGAACAGGAACTACTGGGGCTCTTCAAGAGATACAGACATTTTTTTTAAATTCATGGTTAACAGAACTGTAAAAGTAAATTCAGCACAGCTTTAGAAACTGCATGTTTTTACACATCCAAGTCTGTGCATGTCTGTGAAATACTGTGTGTTCTTAACTCACTGTAAAGTAACTCAGGTCTCCATATAGCTGGTTATCGTCTTTGGATGCCCCATATCTTCTGTAGTTTTGGAAGTAGTTTGACAATCCGTAATAAAAGAACACAGGACCCTGGATTAAGGAAAACAAAACCCACATAAAAAAAAAGCAATAACTAAAAAAACCCACTGAATTGAGAGGCAGGAGTACAGTTATGCTGGCATAAATTATATAAAATAAGGATCCATCCCAACCTGAAACAGGGTAGTGAGGGTGAAGTTCAGTGAGCACTTGCAGTTTGTTACAACTGACTGGGAGCAGCTAGAACATGGTGATCCGTTGCTATCCCCAGTGTAGTCCAACTGTGTGGGAAAGAACATCAAAGTATGAATTCTTACTTCTCAAAAACACCTATTTTCATTCTTGTATTCAAGTCTGTAAGCAGACAGCATGGTCAGTAACTGTTTATCAGAATTATCCCATATATCAATTTTAATGTTTAAAGACTGTTTAATAACAGGGGCAGATCTAAAGAAATTTTCTTAGGGTGGCATGAGGGTAGCAGAGAAATTAAATGGCGTGGCAAAATCAAAGCCATTTTTTTTCCCCAAACACATATGCAGGTGATTACATATGGTTAAAATGATTCAAATGCAGTAAATATACATGCTTTTCATATAAATATTGTCTATAACTTAATTATTTTCTGTAGCCCACATAATTAAACATGTTAGTTTCACATAAAATCCACATAAAACACGTGAATTTTGATTCTATGTACTCTATAGCCAGTTTAATAAATAAATATATAGCAGAATATGTATAAAATTCAGAAAGCTACACAACATGGAGCAGTGTTGTTCAAAATGTGCTCTTGCACAATCATAGGCATGGCTTGCTGCTGAAAACAAGAAAAAAGCCGGTCCTGCTATGGGCTGGACCATTTGTTAATGGTGTAGGGCAGCGGTCACCGGTACTGGTCCGTGAGTCGTTTGGTACCGGGCCGCGAGAGTAGAGGCTCGCGTGTGAAATGTCTGGTTTTCAGGGTTTTTATCGGTTTTCAGCGTTATTTTGTTATCGTTTTTATCATTAACTCGGTTTTCCTGGGTCTTTTCACGTGTGTTATGAATAAATCTTCTTTTTTTCGGTACCGGTACTAGTTTTATTTTGTTGTATTTTTCCGCGACACCTTAAAGGCCGGTCAATGAAAATATTGTCGGGCATAAACCGGTACGTGGCGCAAAAAAGGTAGGGGGCTAACACTATTCAATAAATTCAAAGTTAATGGTATCTTATTTTAATAAACAACACTGTCATATGCAAAACAAGGGTGACACTTGGGGTGACAAGAGATCATTTTAGGGTGGCACATGCCACCATTCTAGATCCGCCCCTATTTAATAATTATAATTATTTTAAAAAGTTGTCATTTGATTGTTCATCCTAGGCATATGCTTTCAGTGTGGAGGTCATACCTCTAACACCTGGATGCTCCTGGAAGTGACAAAGAGAGCGACTCCAATGCCGATGAAGGCCAGCCCAATGAGGACAAATCCTGGGATTACAATTCCAGCAGAAAGTATAGGCTGCCATGCCGGAAGCCTTTGCTGGGTGAAGGCGGTGTTGTCTGGCCGATTGGCTGACTCTGACTCTTGTTTCACCATTTTCTCGCTTCTGTTGGATTGAATCATTATAGGTTTACAAGTATGATCCAGTTTATAGCATTGCAAATGTGTCTATCACATCCACGGCAATGTATGAACCCCCTACTAAAAGTATACTAGCTCATTTGTTCACCAAAGATTTATACAGGTGTGTTGACAACTGACGTCACAAAACACTGTAGCACAGCTCGACACAAAACACAGCGAAAACCTTTGTAATACTGTACACACGAAATCTAAAACCCCGACCGGCGGTATACAGATTGTTAAAAGTACACCACTGCGTTTTCGCTCACCTTTAAATGGGTTTGTGTAGATACATAGTTTACCCCAAACAAAATGCTTTATCATTATATTCACGCCTAACACTTGGGTTTATATGTTTAGCCACTTACGTGCAATCAGCTCTAAAACGAAGACACAAAAGCCTCAAAAACAGAACATCGATATGCTTCCCTGAGTCGTGAGCCCGACGGAGCGGAACACCTTTACCTGCTTACCCCGCCTACTCTGCCACACCTGCTCTTTTCTTTTCTAGGGATGACGTCAGTTGTTTGCAGGGTCGAGGTTTTGCGGACAGAAAGTAGGACGGAAACGCGGAACATGCAGGCTTGTTTTGGCCACTAAAAAATAAATAAAAAGCCGTGATACTGGGTTGAACTATGTCAACTAGGCCTATGCAAATTTGAAACTCCGAGGGTATCATATTTGAGATTTGTGTGAATAAACTCCACATAAAATGCCGGAAGTAGCAACAATTATGCAAATTAAAACCGAAATGGGCAAACTGATATAATTTACTTTTATTCAACAAATATTTTTTGAATCAGGCTTTACAAGGCTGACTTAATTAAAAAAAAATGATAAACTGACTTGTAATTTTGACTCATTATAACATATGCTGTAATTTAGTAATAAATGATTTTTTTTTTCTTTAAAACGCTCTTTCCGTGCTGGATTCAGAACCTGTTCCAGAGCACCAACATAGTGTTCATATCTAAAGGTAAACAATATTTCATCCATTGCAGTAGTTATGAGCCATTTAACCACGAAAAGCGCCCTCGAGTAATGGCAGTAACAGTAGGAGCTATTCAAAGGCTCGGCATTGTTTTAGATTGGCAGTTATCTCAACCATTAACTACACAGGGCGGCAATTGCGTAACGTTTTCCATTCACCAATCACAGAGAAGTTCGTTGTGCAAGGTCTAATAGTGTGGAGTCTTTGTGTTGACATCTTCTGGGGGATTGAGAGGTATTATTAATATTTTCAGTATTTTATAATTTCCGGTTGCCTTAAAACAGTAGCAGTGTAGTGCAGAGTAGTGTGAGAACGTTTGCAAACGATTTCGCGAACAGTGTATCAATACGCATTAATTTCCAAACAAACCGGCGTACGTGCTCTTATGCTACCATTGGTGCTAGCCGGAGCTTATTGTTAGCATTGGCTAACCTAGCATGGTCGCAAATGAGAAATTAGAAAGGAATATATTAAATTCAGTTAAATCTATATGGCTGCAGTACAGTGCGTGTTTAGCAGTAGCGTTAAATGGTTACGATATGAAATTCATATGGTGCATTTGAGGCTCTGAACAGAAGAAAACCTGCTGTTGGCAAATGATTGCTAAGCTAGTTTTGTCGTTAGCTTGCTAGCTGAAACAAGTCAGAGAAAGACGGTTCCTGACTAACGGGATTGGGCATATTTAATCAGAAAGTAGGATACAGACGGGCAAACGGCAAGCCATTTCCTGTTTTCTTCAGGAGATATCTCGACTTGATCGACAGACATTGTGAAAGACCTTCGTCCCACGCAGGGTCTCAGTATTTTACGAAGTAATTTAGCTAAGTTAAAATCCATTCAAAATTACACAAAAGGCCGATATCAAACAGTCCTGTTCGTAACCATATTTCTGGTTCTGTCTTTATTTCTTAGTGTTTGAATGGATATTACCAGGTGCACGGAGAAATGGGTAAAACAAGACAAGGTTACTGTACCTTGGTGCCCTCATTTCATAAAGTCATGACATCCATGCACACGCAACATTGTTTAAATCATCCAGTTATAGAGATTTTAAAAAAACGAATTAATGTCTTTATTTTGGGATGATGTATTTTCAAACACCAGGCAGTATTTTGCAGTTCTTGCTTCAAATGGCAGGAGGATGTTCAAATGTTTATGATGAAAAGTAATTGTTAACCAAACCTTCAATTACTGAGAATTACACTTACAAGGGCTTTTGGACTGACAGTGCAAAGACTTGCAGGCCCTTCTGCATTGTTTCTTATCCCTATGGATTTTGTACTTTTTATATGTTGCTTTAAAGTAAATCTTTAATTTTCATATATTTTGCAGTAGTATAAGTGCAGTAATGTATGCACACAGTTATTTATCCAGTGCTCAAAACCACATCATCATGTTCATCCAATATTTTTTTTTATTATTATTATTGGTTACACTGTTGCGAACATCTAAATTTCAACCATTTCACTTTTTGTTGTTGTAAGCATCATCATTAAGGAGTACATCTCATTCCTGTTCCCTTTTTTGTTTAGGAGAGGCCTCCAACATCCTCCATAATGCTGTCTAGCAAGAAATCAGATGCGGGTTCCTCCTCCTCTTCTTCGTCTTCTGCAGCGGGAGGTGATAGGGTCCCGGGTTCTGACATCCAGACGGGATCTGCAGCCTCAGTGGCTGGAGCTATGGATTCAAAGAAAAAGGACAGGTCTTCCCCTAGTGGGGAACATGGAGGAGCCTCTTTGTCACACCAGTCAGGCCCCGGAGGGGCAGATCAGGACTCTGCTGAAGTCCGTAGGACGAGTCGACGCAAGCGAGCAAAAGTAAATATTTTAGGTTTATAGATGCTCACGAGGGAAGGAAAGGAAATAAGTTTATTGTGGCATCATGAGAATTGATTATATTCTGTGCTTCAGGAGCGTTCATTATCCGAGGAGTGTTCATTATCCCAAGACACAGGTATTTTTCTGCGTCTGCACCTCCGTGAAAAGTTAGAAGTGGCAGTTGTTTCCCAGTGTTTACAGTGTGATATTTCTGGCAGTTGTTGGTTATGCCTGAGAAATGTTTCAGCACTTCTAAGAGAAGTGGGAGTAAATGAACGATTTACGCGAACGCCGGTTTTAATGATGCTTTTATTGTGCCTACTGTTGCAGGTGGAGTACCGCGAGATGGACGAAAGCCTGGCTAATCTTTCGGAGGATGAATACTACTCAGAGGAGGAGAGGAATGCCAAAGCAGAGAAAGAAAGGAAGCAGGTCATCCCTCCTCCACCCCCACCTGTGGAGGAAGAGAATGACAGTGAACCAGATGAACCATCTGGTGTGTGAAACACTTGCATGTTAGAGCAGTAAAAGAAGACATGTTCTTATTGAACATTGTGTATAATCATTTACCTGCTAATTGGTTGCAATTCTTAACTGAGTGGCGTGTTAAACTGATCTTAGACTTCATTTCAACAGAAAAGAAATATGCGTGTTTATTTTTAGGTTTGGAAGGTGCTGCTTTCCAGAGCCGTCTTCCTCATGACCGTATGACATCCCAGGAAGCAGCCTGCTTCCCTGACATCATCAGTGGTCCCCAACAGACTCAGAAGGTCTTTCTGTACATTCGCAACCGCACGGTATGTATTCATATAAATGGATTAATTTGAGTTTCTAGATAAAGGGCAGTACTGTAATTCATGTTATTCTCATCCAGCTCCAACTGTGGCTAGACAACCCTAAAATACAGCTGACCTTTGAGGCCACAGCGCAGCAGCTTGAAGCTCCATATAACAGTGAGGAATTAAATAAAACATTTTTTCCCCCATTATTTTTATTTTTGTCCTCATACAGAAAGAGAAATTTGATGTCCATTTGTTCTCTTTGTAGGTGATGCTGTGTTGGTCCACAGGATACACAGTTACTTGGAAAGGCATGGTCTCATTAACTTTGGTATTTACAAGAGGGTCAAGCCTTTACCCAGTAAGTTCATCCAGTTATTCTACTGCTGAAATAGCACTAGCAATTAACCTAATTTTGGTACATTTTATGTTTTCTACATGACTTTGAGTTGAAAAATAAAATACTGCCTTGTCCTGCAGCAAAGAAGACTGGGAAGGTTATAGTCATTGGTGGAGGTGTGTCTGGCCTGGCCGCAGCCCGGCAGCTGCAGAGCTTTGGGATGGATGTTACTGTGCTGGAAGCCAGGGTACATTACTAACAGTATTTCTGTTAATCAGATGTTGGTATAAGTCATTTGAGATTTTAAAATGCTCACTATAACAAGCCTCTAAATTCTATTCATGTATACTTTTAAATTGCTTTTTGAAATGTTAATCTTTTCATGCAGGACCGTGTTGGAGGCAGAGTGGCCACATTCAGGAAGGGCAACTATGTTGCAGATCTTGGAGCCATGGTAGTGACAGGGCTGGGTAAGAATCAGATTCTTTTTGTTGAGATGCTGAAGTTAATCATTTTTAGCATTTAGTAAGTGTTTAGCATCTGTGTGCTGTAGAGGTGTATATATTTTAGTATGCAATTCCTAATACTCCAAAACTCAGAAGCGTTCATGTGTTCAAGATGCAAATAATTTTTAGTGTCACATGATCTGAGATCACAGTGTTAAGAGCTATTTTTTAATTATAGTTTTATATTGGTTTAGTTTTACTTTGATTAACCTGTAGAGGGTGATAACAGCCTGTGTAATTGTATTGTGTGTCATTGTATTTTGGGTCTGTGTGTGCACTTGTTCAGGAGGAAATCCTATGGCAGTTGTCAGTAAGCAGGTTAACATGGAGCTAGCCAAGATCAAACAGAAGTGTCCACTATATGAAGCCAATGGACAGGCTGTAAGTACAATGAATGATCTTAATAATACTGAGGTGCCTCTTGTCTATTATCCTGTTGCAGCAAAACTCAATGGGGCTCCTAAGATATTTGTAAATATATATTTGATTTAATTTTAATAACAAACTTTTTGTGTGTGTTTGTTGTTTTATTTTTTTTGTTTTTTATAAAAATCCAAATTTTGTTACAAAACCACGATGTGGCAATAGGCTAACAGCAATAGAGGCATGCATGCTGATGTGTGAAAAATGTCTGCTTGCTTCAACCATGCTGCTGTTCACCCATTAAACATTCCCAGTGATGGTAACAGAACTATGTGAACCATTTGATTTAATAACACAGATAACCTCCATGTACAACTTATGTTTGCCATAGCTCCAGACCAGACCCACACAATGTTCAGTAGACATGTTAAAGTCTGTGTTTTCTGTTTCAGCTAAGTGGTCTTGTGAAGATGTTTTCAATGAATGCCTTTCTTGGGGTCATTTCACATGATTTCTGTTGGGTTACCTAACTCTAGGAGATGATTTTGTAATCGTTTGCAGCTTTAATCATTTAGTAATTGATGTGGAAATGTGGTTAAAGTTGGCAAATGTGTCTCGTGAAAACAAACACGTGGGAAGCCATAATTTTTATCAGTTACTAACAAAAGGGTTCAAATC